CATTTTTTTTTTCCAACAAAAATCAGTTTATAGCTCGAATCCGAGTAAATCCGAACTAAAAAAAAACAATCAGAAGTCGCTGCTAGGCAATGTGAAGCGCCAAAATTACTAAGAAAGCATAGATTCAAGCACCGTAAAAAGAATGGCTTTCGATGAATTTCAAACAGGACAGACATCAGCAAAATAACTGATCTGAATCACTGATGTGTAATGCAAGGCTTAACAAAACTCGTTTTAATAGGACTGACCGCAACATTTTTTCATAAGAAGCTGCACGGAATCACGGTGAAACCGCTTTCACACACCTAATGCAGCTACCAGGTCTACGATTCTTAGTTGCGTCCCAGCAATTGTTATGTGAATGTGTGTCACCTGTTTTAAGGTCGCACGAACTTTCTCGCAGCCTCATTCAGCAACACGCTACGTTCACCGACTGCCAGCAAAGCAAATAGCATTCTCTCTCATCAAAATTATCTTCACACAAGATCGTAGTAATACTTCGCACGCCGTTCATTTGACGAAGCATCTGGCTGCTTATGTGCTCACGAAGAAATATTCCAAGCATCCTTTGCTTCATCAACCCCTCCGCAGCAGACGGCGCTCGCTCTTCTTTTGTTAGTGACTACGTTTCGCATCCGTACATCATGCCTTCAGTGCCACTGGTTCGACACTTTTGGGACATCCACAGTGCTGCGAGACTTGCGCCAAACGGCACATTTTAAGTACAGTATTTGGTTGAAAGCTGCAGCACATATCTATCCTTAGACAACACATGTGTCAAATTCCGGCAAGTTAACGGCATCTATCTGCAGTCTAGCTGCAAGCGTACCAACATTATGCATTACTTTCGTTTTCGATGCATTAATTTCCATGCCCACTTCCTTTATGTTACACCCTTTCATTCTTCAAGCGCTGCTTCCAATAAGAACTGCGTTATCCAAGTGGCGTAAAGACAAACCATCTTTTCAATCCAGTTTCCAAAATGCTGTCTAAAGACGTCACGAGAAAAGTTTAGGCGATTTAGGATCCCTTATCTCACGTCCTTTCCGATCGCATACGCACTGAAGTGGAAAAACCGCGTAAAGTCGGTTGAACAGCGTATATTCATTTCTTTGACAATTTCCACATTGTTTCAATCAGGCTCTTGACTCACAAGATCTCGTAGTGCAGCAATTAGTTCGACTGTACAAAATGCTGTTTGGGAATCCACCAGTAGGAAACAAAGAGAGCGCAAGAGGCAGCGTGATACTCCCTCCCTCCAGCAGTTGATTTAAGGAGAGAAAGTGCGCTAGCTCGCTTGCCTGCTATTCATCAAACACTCTTGTTAATCGAATAGGAATGATCCTCTTGGATAGCATGTAATTATAAGGGAGCATGAAATTTTTCTACTCTCCAGCCACCAGGAATTCGTCCCTCAGACAAATAGATATTAGTGGTGCATACAGCCCAAAATGGCCTGATTCCCTTTGTTTCGGCATCCTGATAAGGGTGTCAAAATCGGCTGCATGAAAGTGTAGAAACAAAATCGAGTGAAACTGCTCAAAAATTAGCC